ATTTGAAACGAATAAATTTACCTATTTACTTATTTTTTGCATAAAAAATTTCACTTTGAACAAAATATTAAAATTTCATTGAAGTGCAAAGTATTAGTAAGGTCACAACAAAATTGTGTACATGCAAAATGGACAACTGCGTTGTTTTGTGTACATGCCGGCCATTGTTATGTTGCTGCCCTCTCACAAACGTTCATGTAGTAGGATTCATAACGCCATTTTCAGTTCACTGTCGTGCTGCTGCAATCTGTCACGAGCATTGTGTTCCGCACATTATTGTCGAAAAAAATATTTTTTTATTAAAAATTTCATTCCATTATCAAGCTAAGCTGACATTTATATATTATACGTGTATGTATGCATGTATGCACATACATATGCATGGACACACTCGCCCACAATCCACCTGCGAAAAATCAGCTTTATGTGCTTGAGCCCGTGAATTTTGCAATCACTCCCACTCTGCACGGCAACAACTAACACACACATACACTCCCATTCAACACATCACAACGGCGGATGGGCTGGTATTATTTCAGTCAAAGAAACAAACAAATAAAAAAATTTAATTTTATGAAAATATACCTAATTTGACAAATTGGTTGTATTGATTTCGGAAAAATGCTTTGTAAATACAAGGGCACAGTGAAAAGGAAAGTAGACACATGTGTATTATACCTATGCATGTACGAGTATATTGTGTATGGGTGTATGTATACATACACATATATGTTGACAGGTATTGAACTTTCTTTAAATGTGTACAATGTAGTAAATGGCAAAATACCTACCGTCTCGTACGAACAGTTAGAGCAATGTTGTAGCAACAACAGGAATAATACCAGAGCAACAAGAGCGTAGCGCGGACAACAACTAAGTTGAAGTGTAGCATACGAAACTAGTGTAAACAGACAAAGTACTTGCAACAAGAAGTGCGACAAAAGCAATAACAAACAAAAGAAAAAAACATTAAAAACAACTCAGGTGCATAAATGCTAATTTGCAAAGAAAATAGCAGAGTTTGTCATACAACCTCTCGGTTTTGATCGGCTACTTCGTAGGACGTCTATATGCTATATTGGGCCGATATCCGCGATTCCGAAAAATTAGCGGTTTCGTGAGAGGAAAAGGATCGAACTGATCGATATACATTGTAACGAAGCTTTTTGCTGCCCCTGCTTCTTACAAGTATATTCTGCGAATCGTACTTTATTTAATTTAACTTATATATTTTAGTTAAAGTTATCAAATTATCTCCTGCGGTTTACTGTCGTCGCCCGAGGAGAGTGCTGTCAGGGTAACGGTTCCGTGTGGTCCGTTATCACAATACCGTTTCCCGCTCTGCTGTGCTCCTGGGTGCTAGACGACTTGCTGTCCTATACCACGACAATCACGCTCGGCTGCTTCTGCCGGAGCTCGCGCGGGATTCGCTGACGATATCCTGTGACGTGCGTTGACGTTCCCGTGCTACGACGACTGCGCCCGACTATCTCTGCCGGCGCTCCTGTATGCTTTGATGATGATATCCTATACGTTGACCCTCGCGTGCTACGACGACTACGCCGGGCTACTCCACGTCCACGTTACACTCGCGTGTTACTCTGGTGATGTCCTGTTCGACCACCTTTGTCGCGTAAAGATACCGGATCACGGAAGACTGCATCAGCGATCGCGATGTTAAAGGTTGAGTTGGTCAGAGGATAAACTCACTACCAACTTCACCCTTAACAGATGGCGTTTACAAGTCAGAGTACCAAGACTAGCTAGAGGATAAACTCACTGCGTAGTCTGATGCTGAACGTGTATACGCTGTCACAGTCCCGTGCTGACTCC